TTTTTTTTTTCTCGGTAGAGATTTTATATATCGCGAAAGAAAATCAGTCAATACTCAATAGTTAAAAGATAAAATCAAATGCTGAAAAGATCAAGAGAACATACTTCCTCGCTGGAATTTCTCGTCTTCTCCGTTCGATAATTCTGGTCAACATCAGTCATGCATCCTTCATCGACGTTCGTTCAGTCCGTCCCGACGAGCAACCTTCGTGTCTGGTAGCCCAGCCCGCACGAAGTCCTCCTCTCAGCAGGACCGTCTCTAGAAATTTAGAAGCCCCAAACAAATTTTACACTTTGAATTTCTCGATTTGAACTTGCGTGGTAGGCTATCTGTAGATAGAATCATACAAGAAAAAAAATCTAATTAAACAAGACTATTAAATAATAGATAATTGAAAAAAGAAAATTGATTTTTCTTATTTTCCTAGACCTTGGAAAAATGACCTTTAATAAATTATAAATTTCATTCAAGCAGTCACGAATACAACAAGAATGAGAAAATAAAAATCATATTACAAAAAAATATATACATACATATATATATATATATATATATTTATTCTCACACAACTTGTTCTGACCGAACATCATAAGAAAACAAATGAATATTTAGGACCTAAAATTCCTTCACAAAGTACATATTTTGCTATTAGCCCCTTCATTAATTAGTCCATTCATTTGTGTAATGGGCCAAATTCATATTTAACCATTAGTTTATTTATTTGTGTAAATAAACAAAGCCAAACACAAATACATAACATTGAAACAACAAAAATAAAAGATAAAAATTGAGGCCCCTAATAATTGGAGGCCCTAGGCATGGGCCTATGGTGCCTCCCCCTAGAGCCGGCCCTGCCTCTCAGCCTTGTCCTTGAAACAACAACTATGTCACCAGTCGTCTTCCTGGAAACAAAGTGCGATCAGCTGTTCCTCACACTGCTCAACCCGTTTCCATCCATGGGACGACCTTCAGGGATAACTACCTACCGGAAATTATGAAACCTGAAAACTGTTAAGACAAGTTACCTTTCGGTCGGCCAAATGCTTTTGTCGCCAACGACTAACAGCCCTTGCTTCCAGTCGTGATTCAGTCAGCCTACGTGCATTAATCCATTTTTTTTAAGATTGCTACGAAAAGGACTTCGCCCCTCACAAACTTTCTATTTGTTTAATCTATCCATACCACTACATTCTTTTACCCGGAAGACCTTGTTCTCAGTGGCGAAACTAGGATCCCGTTTTGGGGATGGCCCAATTTGCCTTTAAAAAAAAATTACGACAAAACCAAACACAAACACAAAAATAAATGCAAACTATTCAAATTATCGTTCAAATAACATTATACAAAATAAAAATACAATCTAGCTTCCAACCAAGGGGGAACTAATAAGATCGGCACGCGGTAACTGAAATCTTCGGGACGCCATGTTCTGAAATCTCTGCAAAATGACTTCATGTTGATAAAGATTTCCTTTTCAATGTAGCACGCCAAGCTATCCGTCAAAAAATCCTCTCCCATTTTGTTGCACAAATCATTCTTGATAATCTTCATCGAGGAGAAAGCTCTTTCAACAGTAGCAGTTGCGACGTGCAAAACTAATGCCAACTCAATAAGCCGATAAACTAACTTAAGAGCAGTGTGCCACTTTCTCTCAACCATTCTTTTTGCAAGGTTTCCAATACTTTGAAGATCAGAGAAAAATGCACGCTCATGTATTGTAACTATCGAGATGTAGTGATTCAATTCTTCTTTCAGTTTGAGCTCATCATCAAAATCATTTGGATATAATTGAGCGAGACGAAGTAGTCTTTCATGATCAAAGCTAGCAAAAGAATCTCTAGGATCAAGACAGACTATGCACGAAATAAGTTCCGTACTCAACTCTCCAAAACGATTAGCCATCTCTTGTAAGATAAGATCAACAACCTATTAAATTGAGAAAAATAAGCTAATTATTAACACTATAATAAACAAAAAAAATGTTAATATGAAATTAAAGAAAAATAGTTACCGGAAGAAAAATGTCTCGTCGAAAAAAGTGCAAATAAGTCTTTGGTTGGTCATCCACTTGTCTTTTAGATCTACGCCGACCCGGTAAATGATCTTCCATATTAGGCACCAAAATGCCTTTTTTAGATCAAAATTCCTTGACGCTTTCAAGAAATTCCTCCCAACCATCCTCCCTAAACTTCCCTAAATCTTCCTTCAAGGTTCTAATCAAAACGAAGGCTTTACCAATATTTTGACTTTTTTCTTGTAAGGCCGCCGAAAGTACGCTTGTTTTTGCCAATATTGTCACCAACAAATAAGCAATGAATACAAATTCAAAAGTTGTTGATTTAGCAATCAAACCTCTAGCAACGCCTCGACTTTGGAAATTTGTGGCTTCACTCTCAATAGTATCAAGAACGTCTTGTACCGCATCCCACATTTTCCAACATCCGCTTGATTGTCCTATAGTGAGATCCCCAACGCGTAGCACCCGGTCGAGCTAAACTTGTTTCTTAATTCAAGCCGGTCCCCGTAGAAATCTCACCACTTTGAATACGTTGTACAAGGTCATCGTAATGCTTTTGTCGAATAGCATCCATTCTTTTACATGAAGCTCCAACAAGATTTACAATCCTTACAAGATAATCCATAAAATCACTCACACACGTGTTCTCTTTTGAAGTTGCTACAACCACTAATTGAAGTTGGTGAGCAAAACAATGAACATAGTATGCGTGTTTATGTTCTTGTAAAATAAGAGTTTTAAGACCATTGAATTCACCTCGCATGTTGGAAGCTCCATCGTAACCTTGACCTCGAAGCCTAGAAGTGACAATCCATTTCTTGCAAAAAATTCATCAATTGCACCTTTTAAAGAGTGTGCCGAGGTATCACTAACGTGGACCACTCCCAAAAATCGCTCGATCACTTCTCCCCGATCGTTCACGAATCTCACGACGACGGCCATTTGCTCCCTTATTGAACTATCCTGAGCTTCATCGATCAAAATAGAAAAGAACTTGTCTCCAATTTCATTAATAATGACTTTCCTCACCTCTGTAGCACAAGCATTGATGATTTCTTTCTGAATTTTTTAAGAAGTCAACTGATTATTCCCGGGAGCATTCAAGTTGATGACCTTCTTCACTTCTTCCTTCTCCTCACAATACCAATCCAAAATTTCAAGAAAATGACCTTTTCGTATTGAATCTTTTGACTCATCATGTCCACGAAATGGCAAACCTCCCCCTAAAAGCAATCAAACAACTTTCACAACCGCCGTTAGCCGATCGCGGTAGTCAATCTCCATTTGAGTGCCCTTTTGTGATAACACATAATCCACATTATGCCTTTGGTCTCTAAATGACGAACACTGAATCATAGCATTACGATGTGGACTGTTTAAACCCCCTTCATGCTCCTTGAATTTATTTAAAGCATTCTTCCAATTTTTAAAACCAACACCAGTAAAAGCATCATCTCCACAACGAGTATTAATCCTTTTAAACAAATAACATACTTGACAAAAAGCGGCATCCTTCTGAATACTATATTCGAGCCAATCATATTGCGTAAACCTTGCCTTTTGAAATGATCTCATATTCTTACCAAAATTAGACTACGGAAAATTGTGATCATGTGGTTGAAAGGGACCTTTTGCAAAGTATCGTCTCCTCAATTCATCTCTAATAGCAAAAGGATAATCATCAATAGGTTTTCGCAATCCCGGATCACCAACAATGTCATCTTCCGTCAATTCCACTTCTACTCGTTGTCTTTTGCCACTATCTTTATCATTCAAATCCACATTACTTGATGAAGATGAAACCGACTTCTTCCATTTGGATACAAACTTATCCTTTGTAAAAATTCAAATACCTAAAAATAGTGAAACAAATCAATAATTAAAAATATTACAACTACAATTTACTATATAGAATAACAATTCAAAATAAAAACTAAAGTGACTAATTACTATCAAGCTCAATAAAAAAAAAAAAAAATACAATTATACAATCATTAAACATATTACATATTAAACTACCATTCTACCAAAATTTTAAGTTACAACAATTCAACAATGATAGTAAATTTTAAGTTACTACATATTGAAGCCACTTGCAGCATGTGTTATGTACTTATGTTTCTTTTTAAGTTTTTTTTTTTTTTTTTTTTTT